CACCATAAATCACCACGACACTCCTCGATACCTTTGTCGTCTCGTCTGTCTGCAGATGTCCTCAGAAGTTGCTTTTGTCTGTCCTCATATTGTGATGTGGCTGAAAGTCATAAAGCTGGACTTCGTATGCTTACAGCGCTTACAAGAAACACAGTCGCAAACCTTTTGATTTTTTTTTTCGTATGGAATGACCAAGGCAGTAAATAGGAATAGATGTTCATGAAATATACACGTGAGGACAAAATTGTTCCTACCCCACTATTAATGAAAGAAAAACTCACAGTAGTCACAGAAATAACTCTGATTCTGACAAAAGTTACAATAAATGAAAATGTCATGAAAATTAACCAACAAAAATCAGATGCTGCTTTTGAATTGTGGTTCATCAGAATTGTTTTAAACTACAAACTCTTGAAACGGGTCTGGGCAAAAATGATGGCGCCCTTCACTTAATATTTAGTTGCACACCCTTTTGAGAAAATTACTCCAATCAAGAAGACCTTGAGTCTTGAGACTCCCATCTGTACCCTGCACATATTCAAGATACCTTGTGCTAGATGTAGCAAAGCAGCCCCAAAACATAATAAAGCCTCCTTCATGTTTCACAATAGGGACAGTGTTCTTTTCTTGCCATGCTTCATCTGTGAACATGGAGCTGATGTGCCTTGCCAAAAAGTTCCGGCTTTGTCTTGTCTGTCCATCGGACATTATTCCAGAAGCTTTCTGGCTTGTCGCCAAATTCCAGTCTCACTTTTTTTATGATTTATTTTCGACAGTGGTGTCCTTCTTGGTCATCTCCCGTGAAATCCACTTTGGCTCAAATGACAACGGATGGTGCGATCGGACACCACTGTATCTTGATCTTTCCTCCACAGTTTCAGAATGTTCACGCCACAACAAGAGTGGTCCCCCGCAGGGCCCGCTCCTCTTTCTCCTCGTCCTCTGCAATTTGCTCCTTTCATTGCCATCAGGAGCGGTTTCTATAGCGACCGGCACAGGCAATGGGAATTACTCTGAAAATACCACTTTGAACTCGTGCGTTTGCTTGGTAGTTTCTCTATTTGCCACGTGATCCTCTTGGAATCACTCAACTCGGCTATATTTATAGAGCACTTTATAAAATAACAGCAGTTGTGGAACAGTGCTGTACATAATCAAGATAACATAACATAAAACACAATCAACTATAATAATGATAGAGTCATAGCAGTAACATGCCTGGAGAAATCCGTCAAAGCTTGACGATAATTTCGATGATGCAATGTTTAAAAAAGGGGGGGGGGGGCTTTCTGAAAAGAAAATAGCCCCAAATATCTGTTTCATCCATCAGCACGAAATTGAGTAAACATATCTGTCATAACGGGATAAGAGAAGAGTTGGATTTGAAGCAGCCATTTTGGGAGTACCGGTAATTCTCAAGCTCGTCCTTTCACGAGCTGTGACTGGAGAATTTTCCCGAATGTGTCGCAATCCAAAGCGAACGCTCGAGATCGAGGCGATGCTAAGATGTGATGCTTTTTTTTTTCATGTGGGTGGAGCACAGTTTGAAAACTTGATTATCATGAAGAGGATTCTTCATGTTTAAAGGGCCATTCTTGAGAAAACTAGCGCATTACCATTTTCATCTCGACAAGCAAAATTTGGCGTATGAGAGGGAGGTGCGAGTGCACCTCACAACTTTATACAGTATACAAGGTGTTTCAAAAATGCTTCCAGTACTGGTGTCACAAAAAATATATCGCAAACCTCAAACTACGGGTTTTCCCCCATAATTTGGGCCCAACAATGAACCAGCACTCTACAAAAAGTCACAGCGCCCCCGAGCGTCTGACAATTCCTGGCCGAGAGGAACATGGCCGTGCTGAAGTGACTTTTCGACTCACCCGAACTGGCGGCGTGAGATTTTTTTTTTTCTCCCTCTATCGCAAGCTCAAGGGGTTCTTCAAGGGGATCCGGTTTGAAGACATGGACGACTTCAGGATGGCCAGGAGGATGGCAATGCGGATAATCCCAGAAGGATTCTTGATAGAGTGCATGAAGGTGTGGTAGAGAAGGCTGGGAAAGTGTGTTAGACTCCAAGGGGATTCCTTTGAAGGGAAAAACTTGCTTTGAATTGAAATCTGCAGTATCTTGGTGACGCCAGCCCTGGAACTTCTCAGGCGCTCCATCTACATTTCTCCCGTCAGCGTGCATAAATGAGCATATGTTTCACTCGATATGTTATGCTATGAGATGGTTCAAGACAACATACTCCTTAGGGATGCAGCTTTCTAGTCATTCATTTTCCCGTTTCGCTGTCAGGTTGACTCAGTAAGCTTTCGGAAACGTTGACTCTCATGCATGTGCTCTAGAACCTGAGATGCACTCAAACATGCACGCTTAGAAATGTCCCTTTAACATAAACACAGAAGAGCACACAGACTTCTTAGAGATCCATTGTTGACTGTCATTGATGATGTGTGTGCTGCCTGGAATTCCCTGCCAGGTCCGAGCTCACTTGGCTTTCGTGTCACACACACACACACACACACACACACACACACACACACACACACACATTATGCCAGCATCCTCATGTTGTGGGATGGCTTTCCCCCAGCCGTTGCTGCGATTCCCATATTCTATTAGCCAATACACACAAACACACACACACACTCATCAGACTCTAGTGCCAGCCTCCAGCCTTGCCTGATCAACGCTCAAAAACGCGCACACAATCCAACGAGTCCAAGCCACATGGATCAGCTCGAAAAAAACAAACCAAAAAAAAAAAAAAAACAACCTAAACAAATAGCATTGGACACTTTAGAGCCCAGACACCGTGAGGGCCAAGTATTTGCACAGTTTTGCCTTTGCACACCACCAAAATGGTTTTGTCAAAAAAGTTATGTGTGTCATCAAATCATGGGTTCTTGATACTGTTTGTGGGTCCACCCATGATAAATTCGGCAACCTACCGTATTGTCCACACTAAAAGGCGCACTGGATTATGAGGCGCATCTTCAATGAAGGGCCTATTTTGTAATTTTTTTCATACATTGGGCACACCGCGTTACAAGACGCAATCTACAATGCATCCACTAGATGGAGCTACGCTGCTCTGTTTCCGTGTTCAACTGCGTAACCCATTGCCTCAAGTTTGAACTTTGCGTTGTCAGCATGTCTCGAGCGAGGAGCCATTTTGGGGTCGAAATATTACCGTAATGACCATACACAAGGCACATCGGATTTTAAGGTGCACTGTGAGCTTTTAAGAAAACGGAAGGCTTTTAGGTGCGCCTTTTAGTGCAGAAAATATGGTCATTTCTTGTTGCTCGATGAAACATGTTGGAAAAAAATATCTCAATCGAACATCTTTCGTCTGTCTAGTCTCCAGACGTAAAATTTGGCAGGCATCGAACAAAATTTGTCAGACGAATTTTTTTGTCGAAAGAGCCCTGGAAAGCAAACCCAAACGGCTGATTCTAATTAAAATGGCAATCTTTAGCCCTTTTCAGGATGAGTTCTTGAGACTTTTTGGTGGGTCTAACAGTGATAGACATACCTATTGATAGGCTTGTTTAGAACTTGGTAACGATTAGACAAGATCTGTCGGACAAGTTTGTCCTTGGTGAACCCCTTGGAAATGGGCAAAAATCAAGCCAAAACGGTCTACTTGTTCATCGAGCAGCCTCCCTTAACGCTTTTAGCCTCGGAGAGCTCAAGTGTGTTTTGTGCGTTTGTGACCTCACCCTCCAGAGGTTCCTCGGACGGGAAGGAAGCGGCCAACGTCGAGGTTTAAGCGAGGCGGAGGCAGAGCTTTGCAATGTGCAGTCCATCCACATTAGTTCTGATCACTTGCTGCCTTCGGGCTCCCTCGCTCTCTCTTGGTTTCCTCGCTCTCCTCCCATCTTTGTTTACCACGGAGAGGTTGATTTATGTCGGCTGCACTTGGAAGAGTTGGGCAGCGTGGGCGAGACCCAGCAGCAGATGGGGTGGGGGTGGGGGTGTAGAAGGTGAAAAAGGGTGGGGGGGATGTGGAACAAGGAAGGCCAGAGAGGTAATAGATTTATGTTGGACGCTGCTCATAAAAGAGTATTTGCATTTGATGTTTAATTTCAGTTAAGTGGCCATTCAGGCCGTAATGTTTAAGAGTCCATAACAAAGCCGTTTTTTATATCGCCATCCGTCTTATACGATGTACACGAGACATGCATTTGGCACTTCCCGGTTGAATCGTGGAGTGCGTTCAATATCTTCACAACTATAAAGAATTCAGATTTTTATTTATTTTTTTTTAAATACCCATTTGCGCCGTTTGGATTTCGATATTTTTTGAATGTTTTTTTGGAAGGGCTTTTTTGGGGTAGCAACCCTCAGTTTTTGGTGGATTTTTGGGGTTTAAAAAAATGTTTCTTTGCATTTGTATGCGGATTTTCACTATTTTTCACAATTCTATCGACTGTCTTTTTACTTATGTTTATTCTTGCTCGTATTTTGATTGTGTTTTGCATTTTATGTCATGAAGCCATTTTATATGCTGACTATGGTGTGAGACTGATAACTGCATTTTCAATAAATATTTTTTTAAATAGATAATCAACTACGATGCCCGATTACTTTTGACAAGTTAGAAATTCTGCTCTGTAAAGGGTCTCTTTAGCTCTTTTTTTCTTTTTGTTAAATTGTCTTGCGCCACCGATATTGTAATACTGTATGTTACTGTACTCAGTAACTGCAATAATTGAACAAAAATATCACGAGTAAGTCATTATGTGACTTTGTTACTGCCTAATATACAGTAATACATGCTAACGTGTTACTTTTATAACAGCCAACACCGATTGCTAGATTGTGAAAATGAAGGTTTTTTTTAATGCCTCTTTTCAAAGTATTAAAAAAAAAAATCATGTTTCATCATTAATTTTTTTGATCAGAAAAATAGCCTAATTTTGAGGAATGACTGTTGTGTTTTTTGCTTGTTATATATGATTGAGTTTGTTTTTTTTTTTTTCCTGCAGCTGGTCAGTTGAGCCAGTCGGCGCACTTCTCCCTGCAGTTGCCCTACACTGTGCTGGGCCTGGGACGCAGTGCCAACTTCCTGGACCACTTGGTGGTCGGCATCCCGCACCGACCTGGAGAAGCGGTGAGTGGAACTTTGCTCTTCGCAACCGCGATAGTGTAGACTCTGTTAAATAATGGACCGATGCAGCCTTGTGTAGTCTGCCTGCAACGCCGAGACAAACTTGCAATCACAGTTACTCTTGCTGTCAAAAAGGTTCAGAGTAGGGTTTGGTTTTTTACGACGAGGTTGGGTTATCAAATTAGGTTTTCAAGCTAAAATGAGGTTGTAGTTCCGTGAATGTGTCAATGTTGAGTGATGCTCTTCTTGCTGATGCAGTCTGCGCGCATGTGTTTGTGCGCGCGCATGGGCGTGTATTAATATCAGCTCTCTGAACTGGATGTGTTTTTTTCCCCTCCAAGACAGGAAACTGACATTAAAGATGGGAGGAAAATTGCAAACAGTGTTCAACATTTAGCCGCAGGCTGATCAGCGTACTTCATTTCTATTTATTTTTCCGATTCTTGAGTGCTGGCACACTTGAAACCTTGAACTTTTAGCGCACCCCCAAGAAGACTTGAATTAATGTGACAGAGAACATTTTATCTTTTCACACCTGAAATTAACCGCAAGTTCATGATCACAATTTTTTCGAACCCTTTCAACGGTATCTTGAGATGAGGAATAAATTATTATGTGTTTCTCCCCCCCACTCCTCCCCCCAGGAGTCCAGGAAGCAGGAGTGGACAGCCATCATCCCCAACTCTCAACTCATTGTCATCCCGTACCCGCACAATCAGCCCAGCAGGTACACAAACAGCCACTCACAAACACTTTTTTGGGGTAGCAACCCTCAGTTTTTGGTGGATTTTTGGGGTTTAAAAAAATGTTTCTTTGCATTTGTATGCGGATTTTCACTATTTTTCACAATTCTATCGACTGTCTTTTTACTTATGTTTATTCTTGCTCGTATTTTGATTGTGTTTTGCATTTTATGTCATGAAGCCATTTTATATGCTGACTATGGTGTGAGACTGATAACTGCATTTTAAATAAATATTTTTTTAAATAGATAATCAACTACGATGCCCGATTACTTTTGACAAGTTAGAAATTCTGCTCTGTAAAGGGTCTCTTTAGCTCTTTTTTTCTTTTTGTTAAATTGTCTTGCGCCACCGATATTGTAATACTGTATGTTACTGTACTCAGTAACTGCAATAATTGAACAAAAATATCACGAGTAAGTCATTATGTGACTTTGTTACTGCCTAATATACAGTAATACATGCTAACGTGTTACTTTTATAACAGCCAACACCGATTGCTAGATTGTGAAAATGAAGGTTTTTTTTAATGCCTCTTTTCAAAGTATTAAAAAAAAAAATCATGTTTCATCATTAATTTTTTTGATCAGAAAAATAGCCTAATTTTGAGGAATGACTGTTGTGTTTTTTGCTTGTTATATATGATTGAGTTTGTTTTTTTTTTTTCCTGCAGCTGGTCAGTTGAGCCAGTCGGCGCACTTCTCCCTGCAGTTGCCCTACACTGTGCTGGGCCTGGGACGCAGTGCCAACTTCCTGGACCACTTGGTGGTCGGCATCCCGCACCGACCTGGAGAAGCGGTGAGTGGAACTTTGCTCTTCGCAACCGCGATAGTGTAGACTCTGTTAAATAATGGACCGATGCAGCCTTGTGTAGTCTGCCTGCAACGCCGAGACAAACTTGCAATCACAGTTACTCTTGCTGTCAAAAAGGTTCAGAGTAGGGTTTGGTTTTTTACGACGAGGTTGGGTTATCAAATTAGGTTTTCAAGCTAAAATGAGGTTGTAGTTCCGTGAATGTGTCAATGTTGAGTGATGCTCTTCTTGCTGATGCAGTCTGCGCGCATGTGTTTGTGCGCGCGCATGGGCGTGTATTAATATCAGCTCTCTGAACTGGATGTGTTTTTTTCCCCTCCAAGACAGGAAACTGACATTAAAGATGGGAGGAAAATTGCAAACAGTGTTCAACATTTAGCCGCAGGCTGATCAGCGTACTTCATTTCTATTTATTTTTCCGATTCTTGAGTGCTGGCACACTTGAAACCTTGAACTTTTAGCGCACCCCCAAGAAGACTTGAATTAATGTGACAGAGAACATTTTATCTTTTCACACCTGAAATTAACCGCAAGTTCATGATCACAATTTTTTCGAACCCTTTCAACGGTATCTTGAGATGAGGAATAAATTATTATGTGTTTCTCCCCCCCACTCCTCCCCCCAGGAGTCCAGGAAGCAGGAGTGGACAGCCATCATCCCCAACTCTCAACTCATTGTCATCCCGTACCCGCACAATCAGCCCAGCAGGTACACAAACAGCCACTCTCACACACACACACACACACACACACACACACACACATACAACATACTCCCCCGCCCGGGGACACTCCGGGTGCTCGTTGCCATGGATACCATTGGCACCTCATCTGAAGCGACAACACACTTAAGTTAGCGGCACAGATTTTCTGGTGTTGTGTAAACACACACACAGCATGTGATCTCGCGTGTGTGTGTGGTGTCATCATCGACGATACAGATGGCAGCACACAACACGGATGCCGCAAACTGTATACCTTCAAGATCTTCCAGCAGCAGATGGGGTTTTTTTAGATGTCACAATATTTTCCAACGCTTTGCAATGTCTCACAATACAGCGTCATAAACAATGGCGTCATCATCTTTTCCAGCGCTTTCACTTGTTTCACAATATTTGAGATGATGTCTATTTTTTTTCACCATATCAACAGTACGATGATAATGATGTTGATAGTTTTGGGATGCAAACATTCAAATTGAATGTCTATTTTTCAAACAGAACATGCAAACTCCACACAGTCAGGCCGGAGCTGTTTCAGAAACACTTCATTTATCCATTTTCTGAACCGCTTTATCCTCATAAGGGTCGCGGGGGGTGCTGGAGCGTATCCCAGCCGTCTTCGGGTAGTAGGCGGGGGACACCCTGAACCGGTTGCCCGCCACTTGCCGGGCACACAGAGACGAACAAACACCCGCACACACAGACGAACAACCATCCGTGCTCACACTCACATCGAGGGACAATTTAGAGTGTTTTGCATGTTTTTTTGAATGTGGGAGGAAACCGGAGTACCCGGAGAAAACCCACGCAGTGGAGAACATGCAAACTCCACACAGTCAGGCCGGAGCTGGGATCGAACCCACGGCCTCTGCACTGTGAGGTCGACGTGCTAACCACTGGTCCACCGGGCCGCCTTAGCTTCACAAACTGCTAAAATAATTTAATTGATAAATTGAGGTTTGATTGAACATGTAATTTCTTATTTTCGTTTTTTTATTTTAGTCTCGCGTTGTGGGTAGAATTTCAATGGGAGGGGAAAAAAAGAATTTATTCCATTTTGTTTTCGGGCTGCGGCCTAAAATGTGGAAAAATAGAAGGAAAGTGCGCGCTAACAAACAGGTTATTTCGCTGCCGTGCGCCAACTTGTGACACCAAATGTGACACTTTCAAATATTGACTTTCCTTTCTCTTCTGGTCTGCAGCTGGAGCGCCAAACTGTACCTGACACCCAGTAACAGCGTGCTGCTGACCGCCATTGCCCTCATTGGCGTGTGCGTCTTCATCCTCGTCATCATCGGCATCCTCCACTGGCAGGAGAAGGTCGGACACACACACGCACGCACGCACGCACACACACACACACACACACACACACACACACACACACACACACACAGAACTAATATCCCTCCGTAAGACCCGGAAGGACTAATTTATTGGCGTATTCTGTCCTTTCAGCTTGGCGGATCTGCTCTTTCATTAGTCGCAAAAATACACTCTCCGGGGAGCCTCCGCCGCCGCTTATTTTTCCATTTTTACTGCTCGAACGGCGACAGTCGCACTCCCCACATCACACTCGCAGGAAAACATGCAACTTTTGGGTTGTTTTCATGGCGTTTATTTCCTTCTTTGCAAAGCGCAGCGTGAACGCCGACCGCTGAGCTCAGTCGTCGCTGGCATCCTTGCCGAGCCATCTGGCGTGTGTGTGCGTGCGCACGAATGCATGTGTTTGTGTAAAAATCTAACCCTGAGATTTTTGCGCGTTTATAGGCAGTCACCAAACTTCACCCACGTACCTTGGCAACATCTGATTCCTTGCATTCTAACATCACGCATCTGTTCGAATTATGTTCTAGTATACATACAAGATCAGACAAAAGGACACGTTTTTCTTTAAAGGACCCAATACGGAACTAAAATTGGAGCCTCCCTGTCTTTTTCTGAACGTGTTTCATTGCCTTTTTTTATGTTACGTACTCTTGACAGACATGGCTACTGCATTTAATGCTAAATTTTCTGAAAAATGTCTAAATGAACTCCAAGGTGGTGAAATGGCACACTTGCCTGTCTTTTTGGAGATGGGTCCTTGAGAGTTTTTGGCCGGTGCACTCATGATCGAAAGTGCTCCTAAATTTCATGTTGAAACTGGCTTTGTTGGCTGGATTTTCTTGCAATTTGTCAAGCGATGATATCATGGAGAGTCAAGTCAAATTTCACAGCCATGCTCCACCCACACGCGGCTGCAAAAAACCTTTTGAAAATGGGCAGTATGGCCCCAAAAATAGCTGCTTTCAAACAAAATCGCAGATTTGTTTGGTTTTTGTGGGTCTACTCATGATAGGCAGTGCTAGCCTATTACATTGAATGTTGCTAACAATCACTTAGATGAAAGTGAAGAAACTGAGTTACAGTCTTTCCATTCTCGGAAAGGGCATTAAAAAATACTTTCCAAAGATTGTGGAAATTTAAATGTTTTGCAATTTCACATCACTTATCTGTCAAATGGACTGGTAAAAATTTTGTGGCAATCAGACATAATATCTAGGACACATTTGTTTTTGGAAAGACGTCTGGACAAACTGCACCCGAAAATGATTGCTTTGAACCAAAACTGCAGACTTACTGTGTCTTTTCCTGCATGGCTTCGAGTGTCCTTTTTTTGTGGGTCTGCTCGGAATCAACAGTGGTGCTCAAAGCCAAATTCCACTGAGCAGCAAAGGTCTGTTTGCAAAATTGAATGAACCCTGACAAAAAAACAACAACATTCGCTACGTGCGCACACATTTGCAAAGCTTTGCCGCTCAGCAAGAGGCGGTCTTAAATTTCATGTTGCCGAGTCAAACTTGCTTTGGCGGGGGGGGCTGTATTTTCCCAAAAAATCTGTTCCGATTTAATGGTAATTTCAGGTCAGCACCCGAAGACTGACTGGCATTTAGCATTTGGCTGGCATTTGCTCTTCTTAACAACAAAGTCAGGTGGAGGACAGCTGTGAAGAGGAGCCCGTTGCTAACTTAGCACGACGCACATCCATATGGAGCCAAGCAGAGGAATATTTAAGGAGGCCAATCAATCACTCCAAAGGAAGCGTCTTCCCACCTGAGGCGCGGCGTCCGACTTAATTAATCCACATCAGAGACGACGGCGTCATTAAAAGCGTCGGATGGACACAAATCAATGCGCCGCTGCTTAATGATGATTCACGGGTCCCGCATGACGGATGCCGTCCCCCAGATGTCCGATTAGAGCGTCCGCGTCGATGGCGGTGTGCCTTGCCAAAGCAAAGTACATCCTAGACTTTCATCTTTCTTGAGTGCTGGGAAAAAAAAAAAAAAATCATGAGGCAAAACCATCAGTCAATACTTGGCAATGTGAGTCCACTATTGATTTGTGGAGGGAAAAAAAAACAAGTGACAAACTGACAAATTATGCATCATCTCTCGAATAGGAGTCGACAACATCGGGAAGAATGTTGATATCTTCCAAGACAACTTCTTGTATGATGGGAGAAGAAAGACTCTCCATGCTCTACAAATACTTCTACAATACAATAATTTCCTCTTGTGAAATTTTGCATGTGGTAAAAACCATCAACTATATTTTTTTTACACCTTTATTGGCCCTTTAGCCAGTGACTCTCAAACTGTGCATAATGTTACAGTGGTTTATTTTTTTTTTTTTAATCCAATACAGGAAATTTGTTAGTCGTGTTCAGTTGTATTTAACTTTTAAATTCAGTACTGTATATCCCAATCCATCATGGAGCCGCAGTCCCACTCATTTCCAGATTTTTTTTTCCAACATAATTTTATTCCTGACCACTAAATGGTTCAATGTTGAGCCTTTTTCCACCCTTTGCTGCCCCCGCAGTTCGGATATGGCAAATCAATCTTATTCCGCATATTAAATAATGTTTTGTGTTCACAGGAAGTTTGCCATTTCAGGGACACGTTGGCCATTTCCAGGGGTTCTTCAAACACGAACTTGTCCTTGAGATTTAGTTTTCTTGCTGACAAATTCGAACCACCTGAATTAGTCTGACGGCAACTATTGATTTTATTCGAATTTGCATCATTTCATTTGTGACCACCTTTTTGACCCTTGAACACCACCGTAGTTGGCCCAAATTGTGGTACGGGAATTTTTACTTGATGGAGATTAAAAAAAGAAGAAGTGGGGAAAAATGATTTAGTGGTGATAGAACATCTGCATAAATACACAAGGACAAGAAGCTTCGAGTGTGCGTGCGCGCGGTTTCAATAAGACGTCAGCTGTCACTTCAAAGAAAGTCGACGCCGTACTGAGAAATTGCTGCTGTCGGCGAAAACCTTTTTGGCCAGGATGAATATTCTTAGCTTGTCATGTGAAGGGAATGAGTGGCGGGTGTAGGGCGAATGCGGAGGAGGGGGTGGGCTGCAGTAAAGGGAGTGAAGGGGAGGGTCTTTGATTGTGACCTTATGGCACCCTGTTGTCTTTTTTTGATTGATTTTTCATGTTGTGTTTTGTTTTTTGTTTTTTTTGTGTGCTTCAGAAAGCAGACGACCGGGAGAAGAGGCAGGAAGCCCACCGCTTCCATTTTGATGCCATGTGACCAGCCGGCGTTTAGTCGTGGCGGAACGCCCCCACCTGACCCCTCTTTACCTGCACGACCATACCTGCTGTTACCGTTCCCTGGGCCTCTTATTTGCACCCCTTCACACGCACGTTATCTACCCCGCTTACCTGTTACCTGCCCGCCCCCCCACTTCACCTGTTCTTCACCCGTTAAATTACCCCCCCCCC